TTGAGCAACGAATTCTCGCTGAGTATTGGTGTGTATGAATGCTTTGCTATGGGTGTATGTATGTATGTATGGGTGTATGTATGTATGGTTGTATGTATGCATGTAGATCTGTATGTATGTATATAAATATGTAGCGTATGTATGGCTGGATGTGGATATGTATGTACGTATGTATGTACTTGTGGGTTTTATGTATCCATGTACGTATGTCTGTCAGTGTAGCGTAGGGAAGCTACGTTACAACTCGTTGTACGTGAAACGGATGCTTTTCGGCTCTTTGTAAAATACGATGTGCTGTGCTTTTGGGTATTCCCGTTCTTTCTTCAATTCCACGAACGGAAGTACTTGGGTCATCTGCGACCTCTTGCAACACTTCTTCCTCGTAAGGAAAGCGAGCTCTACCTCCAGCCCGTATTTGATTAGGAAAATGGCCGCCCTCTGTGAGTGAACGGTGCACATTAACAAACACGCGGTGATCCGGATAGCGCCCTAAATTTGGATATCTTTCCCGATAAAGTCTAGCAGCGGCACTTGCATTGCATCTGCATTCTCCATAAATGAGGTGCATGTTCGCATATTCTTGTGAAGTGTAGCGCGTAGGCATGGTAGATAACAAGAATGTCAACACAAAAGTCCAATTCCAAAAGAGAGAAGCCAAAGTTGCCGGTATGTAATCAACAAGTCCAATTAATAAAAATCCAAGTCCAAAAAGCCAAAGTTGTCAGTACTAAATCCATTTGCTTGGTATGGCGACTGTGTCTGTTTCATTCGCACGCGTTTAAACGACGCATCTCCGTCTCACTGCGTGGCGTCACTATCTGTCTCGCTCGCTCATGGCAAACATGTCCACTATCCATCTCTCTCATCATTTTGCCGTCTTGAAGTCTTGATACACCATCATGATTCAATAATACAAGGTTCGATAAACGGACAGTTGTCTCTCTCGCACCGCTCCCTTAGCAGTGGCACCGTGTTGCTTCTTTGCAAATTTACATGGAAACAGTGTAGCTTTGGTATGAAATAAAAGTATAAGCTTTTGTGCAATATGTTTATTTATATATGCATATGAAGCATATTTAACTGATGAAAACATAAGCAATGGATGTTTACATCAATCTCATAGTAGTCTTATTTTAATTTTAAGTCATTTTGCAGTTTTTATACATCTAAATAGCACATAAATTACGTAATTCACGTAGATATATCAATATTACTTCAACATTTCGTTTAAAATGCCAGATTTCCTGCAAATACATTAGAATTTACAAAAGGAATTTCACTACTAAGTGCCTACTTTGCGTACTTTTCTACTACCATTTTCGAACCAAGAGATTTCATTCTTCCCCTTTCTCCGTCCTTCGTAAATGCAACCTTTTGTAAGGGAGTGTCAAACCGCAGCTGTCAATAATTATCTAACCTTGTATTATTGAATCATGATACACCATATCTTTTTTAAATATTCACAATATTTTGCAAGATACAATTTTTTTGTTATTTTCTTATAAGTATATGGATCATGCTTTAAACAAAATCATTAAAGAAAATTTTACGAATATTCATCAAACTTTTCAACCTTTTCATCAGATTAAACAAAAATTCAACGTGGTTAAGAAATCGCGTGGATTTTTAATAATTTTTTTTTACGGTTCTACGCATTTTCCTCCATATAACAAATTTTCAGTTATACTTTGTATTTGAATTTTTAATGAAAAAGGTGCGATCCACGTAAGTAAAAAAAAATACGAAGCGCTGATAATTATTTTTTATTTGTATTATTATTGCAATGGTATGTATATGGGAAAGAAAATACTCCGAGTTATTGTTTCAATATTATCAAAGTGGCAAGGCCGTTGATAATACTCACAATTTGTGAAACTTCAAAAAATT